GATATATATAATATATATATATATATATATTGTATACATATTATATATATATATATGTTGTGTATATATATATATAATATTTATTTAAAAATTATTATTCAGAAAATTATTATTAATAAAAAAGAAATTATACAAAGAAAAAGAAGATAAAATTACATAATAAAAATCTTAAAAAAATTAGTGTAATAACACTTTTAAAGGTTTTTTTTTTTATATCTAAAATAAAATATACTCTCCCCCCCTTTTTAAACACCGAATAAAAAAAAGAAAGAAAGAAAAGAAAGTAAGAAAAAGAAAGTTTAATTGCATTGTCCTTTGCATTGTCCTTTGTAATTTCTATTGTAAAAAAATAAAATTACTTTTTTTCAATTATTGTTTTAAATTTCAATTATTAAAGTAATAAATTGGAAATAAGGAATGATGATAAAAATAATAATAATGTGTTTGTTGTTATGGTAAATGCGTTATTAGTTTGTTGTTGTTGTTGTTGTTGTTCAGTTGTTAATTTTGTTTTATTAGAATTTTGAGATGGTTTGGTCAAGGAATCTTGATTTTGATTGGAAATTATTTTAAAGGTACTAGAATTTTCTTTCATAGGGTATCTAAAAAAAAATAATAAAAAAAATTGATTTAGTTTTCACGTTAAAAATAAAATAAATAAAATAAAATAAAATAATAATAAAAAAAATAATAATTACCCAAGAGATTTAAATATACTAATAATTTTTGGACCAATTGGATTTGTATATTCGGGATCACCATTTATAGGTGATAAATCATCAAGAATAACTTGACGAGGAGCTTTAAATCTCATCAAGAAATCGGTAGTATTACCAAAAGCATCAAAATCAACATGACTAAAAGTTGAACCAGGTTTAAAAGGTACCAAACCGGTTTCAATTAAAACATTTTCACCATCAACTAATCTAATTGCAACTGAACCTCTAGTAATGGAATTTTTAAACATTATTTCGGTCTCTTTATATACAGGAGATTTAGTAAATGCATCAAGGAAAGCTTTTTGATCATCAAATTTGGTATTAAGAGGGGCAAAACCATTTATTTTTTTGGCAATAGGTGTAAGAGAAGAATTGTCTTTTGTTAATACTAAATGTCTATCCAAAATATATTCCTGAAAACCGGTAAATGTGATAGGACCTTCCTTTATTCCATCAGTTTCTTCCGGATTAGTGAAAATAAATGATGGAGTTGGAGTTAAACTACTTGCATTAGCATTAAAATAATCATCCCAAGAAGTGATAAAACCTAAACCGTGTAAAAATTCATGTACCAAAATTATTTCAAAATCTACTTGATCTTTACCAATTGGAGGATCACCTCTGAACCAAAAAGCATTACTATTAGAATTAAAACCTGCTACAATATCAACAGGGGAAAATTCTGGATGTTCTGATAATTGTAATTGTTTTACTAAAGCTTGTGGAAACAATCTTGTTTCACCATCAGTATTATCTTTTATAGGAAGAAGCCTAGAAGGAGCAGCAGCTCCAAGAGGTTCAGGTTGACCAACTGCACATTTTATGAAAGTACCACATAATTTTACAAAACTAGCATTGACCGCTATTGGAACTTTTAGATCGAATGTGTTTTCAACTATTGTTGCTGCATTTTTAAATGCTATATCTGCTTTTTTACATGTTTCTGGAGTACTCTTTTCATCACAAGTAAACATTATTTTTATCATACTATTAGAATTATCATCATCATTAACTAATGAATTTGTGATCTTATTAAGAGGTTTTTTTTGTGATTCGGATACAGAAGGACAAGCCTTATTATGTGTTTTACCGAATAAAGGTGGTTCTATACATTGTGAAGATATAGAAGGAATATGATTAAAAATCAATAATAAGAATGGGAATAAAAAAATGGATTTATTATTTATATGCATTCTTAATAAAAAAAATAAAATAAATTGGAGGAGAGGGGGAGAGAAATATTTTGATGTTAGAAAAAAAAAGAGAGAATATTAGTAATATATATATATATATATATATATATATATATTAAAATTTTATTAATTTTATTAATATATGATTCTGCGCTCTGCGACAGATTTTTAACGAGGAAACCGAAAATTTGTTGAAAAAAGAGGATATATTTATATAAAAAATTTTTTTTTGGTTACCACATATGGATTGTACAGATCTTCAATTTAATAAGTCTATAAATAAAAATAAAAAAAAAACAACAATATGTAAATTTTCGGTTTCTTTGCCTGAAACGGATAATATTGTCTAATTGTTAATTCGTAACACGTAACAAAAAAAAACTCGGATAGTGTATCGGTAAATTTGTTTCAAAAGAAGGGAAAGGGGAGGGGTTTTTTTTTTTTGATGAAATATACATTATTTTATTTATAGGTATTACAATAGAAAAATCATAAAAAATATGATAATTGTTTTTTTTCCTATATAATTTAAAATAATACATGAAAAATTCCCTTCGGGTTTAAAATTCTTGGCAAAAGATATTGAGTATTGAAGAAATAAAACAATTAATGCCGCAGTAATTATATTATGAAACCACGCCTATATAAAAGAACCTATAACCCAAATTTAGTATGTTACATAAAAAATTGTTTAATTTGGGTAATAAACATTAATGCGGTGTTTAATATCGAAAAAAATGGACTATTACTTAAATATGTTTGGCAAGTTTGGTTACACGATATGCAATATTAGCTAAAAAGAAGTGGCTCCTTTGTATCATGCATTGTTGTCAATATGCGGAATATTATATCTGATATATATATATGTATATTACATACAATATATATATATTTTAAACTATTTCTGACTCTTACGTGTGATAGGATTTTTGTTTCAATTAATTAACATCCCTTTCCTTTTCCCGAATATTCACTTAATTTACTTGGGTTAAATGTTATAAATTACGTTTCAGGTATTAAAAAAAATGTTACCATATTTTTTATTTTTTTGCCTTTTATGTAAATTCGAGAATAACATGGTATGAACTTGTTCAAAACATGAAATAATGAAATAATGATTATATTATTATCGTTCAATCATATTAAGAGAATAATTACTTAACTTTTTTAATAGAAAGTTTTAAGAATCGTTGTTAATATTCTTTTTAGAGAAAATTTCTTTATCAAACATAAAATAAAGATAAAATAAAGTAAAATAAAATAAAATAATTTATTTATATTAAATTTAATAAAATATTTATTATATATATTTTTTATTATTATAAACAAATTACTAAAAATATGCGGTGTTCAATTTATAAAAAATAAACCAAAAAAAAATTTTAAAAAATTTTTGATGCCATTCGTATTCCCTTTTAGATTTTATCATTTAGTACGGTAACAATTTCTGTAGTAATCGAACGAATTAAATAATTAGATCGAAAATTAAAGATTCTTAGATTAGAATTACTGTAATAATCGAAATTCTCATTTATTCTTACTTTTAAGAACTTTCATCTAATAGTTGAAGAGATGGTCTAAAATCAGAATAAAATCCGAAATATTATCATTCCTTATTTTAATACATGAAGAACAATGAACATGAAAAAAAAAAAGAAAGAATAATATTCTTCTTAATAAAACGTGCTAACTTTAAATAAATGCAAATTGAAAATTAATTTTATTTAACAAAGATTTAAGTATTGTACTTTTTTCACAAGAATATTAAAAATTTAATTTAATTAGTTTCATAATTATATGCAGTTAGTTATGCAGTGTATTAATTATAACCAAGAACTGGTCGCCGAAATTTCGATTAACCAAATCTTTGATCTCCGGATTATCCCCGTGTGTACTGTTCCAAAAGTTCCAATTAATGTTATGCTATTTATTTTACTGGGCAGAAATAACCAAAATTTCGGTAACAAAAATAAAAATAATTCCAGACAAAGAACCAAAATTAATTGTGTAACTTGTAATTTATTATTAAAAAAGTGTGTCGTTAAAAATAAAGTAACACGATGATCAATTGTTAGATTCAAAATAGTTAGTCAGAACTAATAAGCAATGAAGAAAAAAAGTACAATGAACAACTTTAAAGACATCAATGAAAATGTAAAAAACCAATTAACGTGATTTCATGCTCACCAAGTTTCTTTATTAAAGAAATAATTGACAAAAATTTTTTATCTGAAATTGATTTTGTGAAACATGAGATATAACAATGAATTAATTACGTGAAATATATTTTTATCATAATATTTTTATTAATTATTTTCGTAAATGTATTTATAATTAAGTTACAAAATTTATAAATTATTCTTTATCTCTTTGTCAAAGAACGAGCGTTTTTCGTTATTAATAACAATTAATGATTGATATTGATGTATTGATGTCATATACTCATATTTCGTTTCAGATAATGCATTATTGATATTAATAGTTAAAAAGGTGATTTAATCGTTTCAATCTTTAAGTAAAAACGAAATTGTCATACAATTTCTAAAAATATTCGTCCTGTATATAGAAAATAAAGAGATAATTGCGATAATATATCTGATTATCCATATAATTGTAAATAAATCTGTAACCTGGAAACATTACTGGTATTTATGTATGCAACGTATTATAAAATGTAAATTACTTTAAAAAATTCCGGATACAGCGCGACGAAAACCACATTTGGGTCAAGATGATCTTTAATGATAAATATTTTGCTTAATCTCACGTGATGAAACTAAATTCACATGAATCAATCACGCCATAAGAATTATAAATACATAAACTAGTCAAAAAAGACAAAGATCAGTTTTACGTAAGCAATTTAGGTCAAAAGGTTTAAATTTAGATTACAAAGTTTTAATAAATATATTCTTTGTAAAAGAAAAAATAAACAAAGTTTGTGTTCATGAAGATCATCAATTTTTTTAAAATATTGAAAATCCGAATATTCATGAATCTTTGTTCCTTAGTAATTGTGGTTTTTTTTTTAGTTATTTTTTTTGATAAAATTTCAGTTTCAGATGATTTATTTTTGGTAAAGATTGTACTCAGGATATCATTTTAAGTAATTGAGAACAATATACATCAATATACATGTATACATTTCTTTATCATGACATTTGTTTATTGCCGGGTTTCACAGTTTAATAAATTTATGCCGTGTAAAATGTTAAATTAGGTTTAATTTTTGATTCTCACATGCAATCAAACGTTCGACATGATTAATTTCACCGAAAAGTACGTTTCGCCGAAACTACCATTTCGAATGGACATTTCGCCAAATGGATAATTTGCCGAATGAACATATCGCCGAACATTGGGAGTCTTGGGTGAATTACATTCACAAGACATTGAAGATATTATATTATAACATCACGTATACGAACGAGGTTTGAAGTTTTAAGAATATTCTTTTATCATGTTGATGACGCATTCGTTTCAGAGTTAATGATCCGACTTAAATATATATTATCATCAAAAAGTCTTTTGTTTCCTATAATTAGGATGAATTATTGTAATTATTTGTTTCTATCTGACATTTTTTTTTTTTTAAATAAAGACTTTGATTGAAATTCGATCGGTCATTAAGAAAAAGTTAATCAATTATAAAATTAGAACAAAGGACATAATTTATCTGTTATTAAAGATATACCGTAATAACCGTATGCAGGTTAATAAAATTCATCTTTAATAATTGATAACTTATGTTATAATTACCGATTTTTTACTTTACATAAAATCAATATACGGCTTTACGCAAATCAATATACTTTACGTAAAATTTGGTCGTGCATATGCAATGATTGAATTAAATAACATGCGTCAAACAAAAAAACCATATTAGGTTAAAAATGATTTAATACCTTTTTTATTTTATCGATCATTTTTACCGTTTATGTTTATAATTTTACAAATTATTATGTGGTACCAAATGTAGGCACGAATTATAATATAGATCGAGCGCCAAAAAAGAAGTTTAAGTTTTTTTTTAAGAGAAAGAATTTTTTTTTAATATATATATTTTTTTTGTTATTAGAAATTAATATTTTTATGTGTTGTAACATTACTATGAATTAACTTTTTAAAGATATTTATTATACGTGAGTCTGACTTTCAAACGGGACATTTTAGAAAGAGTTGAATCAATTTTTAGATTAGAACAAAGGACATGAAAAAAAATATTTGTATTTATTGGTTTCAAATAGTTATTATATTTCGCAATATTTCCGATTCATTGGATCATTGGATCAATATTTCTGATTCATGGGAATAGTATTATATATTAATTAATTAATTTTAATTAATTTTAAGGTGTACCAAATATAATTTAAAAATTTTATTGGTTTTGTAAATCTTTTGATCTACGTAAATAATCTCCAATTATGATCACAAGCATAAAAAAATAAAAATTATCCTTTAATAAATTAATAAATTATTTGACTTGTACTGTAACCTGTAATATGTTCAGTCGATGCGGACTGAAATTTTATGATATCCAATATTGAAATCTGTAATTAGTAACATTAATTTCTATTGGTCACCGCAGATGGGGGTTATCGGTCTTCGACCGATATCTCTATTCTCCCATCCCAAAAAAATTTAATGCTTAATTGCAAAATTATATTCCAAGGATGCTTCATTAGAATACGTTTAATACTATGATGCATAGATTTAATCAAAGAATGTTTACCTATTGACAAAATTGACGACTGATACTGTACACGACTACACGTCTAGTCGTCTGAGAAATATATATATACACGTAACATACTATCTCGTAAATTCAAGATGATACAATCAAAACGAAATTGTTTTAAAGATAAAAACGAATAAAAAATAATTTATTTAACAATTGGAAAACTCTTCTCTAATCCTTTCGCAAAGTAATATATACTAGAGTTCCGAATGGGTCAGGTCAGGTGATAAACCTGACCTGAAATTTTTTTTCAGGTCAGGTTATATCAGATTATCTGTTTGACCTGACCTGAACTGAAACCTGAAAATTTTTCAGGATTTATATTAAAATATCAAAAAAAATGGTGCAAAACATTTTTTCTGAAATATTGCGATTCAGTTTTTTATATTAAAATCATAAAAAAAGGTGAATCGCAATACCGCAACTAACTTTTTAAATACAAAATCAATATAAAAAAGCGAATTCCGATACCGAAATTCACTTTTTATATATAAAATCGATATAAAAAAGTGAATTCCGATACCGCAATTCACTTTTATATATATAATCGATATAAAAAAGTGAATTCTGATGCCGCAGTTCACTTTTTATATATAAAATCAATATAAAAAAGTGAATCCCAATATCGCAATTCACTTTTATTATATAAAATCAATATAAAAAGTGAATTATAATACCATAACTCACTTATTATATAAAATCATAGTTTCAGGTCAACAGGTCATTCAGGTTATACTTACAACCTAAACTGATGCTGAATTGCAATTGCTAAACCTGACCTGAAAAATTCAGGTCAACCTGTCAGGTTACCTGAATTTGGTCAACCTGTTCGAAATTCTATTTTTTTCTCACGAAAAGAAAAAAAAAATTAAACAATAATGATGCAATTTTTTATTGTTTTACAAAATTATACTGGCTAATTTTATTTATTGTTTTACAAATATACTAATAATTATTTTTTTTCACATGAAAAGAAAAAAATTTTTAAATAATTATTTTTCGCATAAAAAAAAATATACAGATATATTTGATATATTTAAACAAAACAAAAAATTGATAGACCTATGAAAGCTTTCCAATTGTGCATATACTATATCAAAGACATATCGGCTAAATGATAGCTTTTCACAAAAAACCTGATTTTTTTGTATTATGAATATTACAAATATCAGATTTTATGTAATGTAATATCATACTTAATGAGTATATCGATTCTTGCCTTAAATGTTTAAGAAATATCAGAAAATTTTCAATTTTCTGATATGATCTGATATTTATTTGATGTTTCATATACCGATGCTTCTTTATTCGACCAGTGAGCGTATCACTGAACTTGAGGCTAAGAATACAAAGCTTAGAAAAAAGAATACTGAGATCCCTATCTTAGAAACAAGCTCTCAGTGTCTAATGCTGAAATAGCTAAACTTAAGCGCAGGAATGCTGAGGTTCTAAGAGTCGAATGGGAAATATAATGAGATGCATGATGCTGAAAAAGCCAAACTCAAGGCCAGAATTGAGGAGTTGGAATCTGAGTTTAGAGATAGAATCATGAAAGTGGAACAGAAGTAGACTCTAAATAAGCTAAGAGGCGCTTCGCATAATTCTTCTAACAACAGTTCACCTTGATACGCTATATCTTTAATAACGTTATTATTATAAAAATCACTTATATATATAAAGACTGATACAAAGACCGGGTCAGTTTTAGGACTGGTTCTACTGTGCCAAGTAAAAATGAAAGACCGCGATCTGGTCTTACAAGTCCTAGGACCGACTGGTTCAGGTCCGAGTAGGACCAGTAGGACTGATGACCATCTTTACCCTAAAATCTTAAATGTTAGAAAATAGAAATATAAAATGTCATCCAATTCTTTAAAGAAAATAGGTGGACAACTTATTAGTAAAATATAGGAATGGATTATAAAAGGAGACCCTGTACCTAATTCTAAAGGATACTACTCAGCAACTTGTTCATTTTGTGAATTTTATTGGATCACAGCTAAAGTGGCAAAACTTAAAAGACATCTTGCTTATGATTGTAACAAGATTGATTCTGAAACAAAAATCAATGTCTTAATGATGTTAACAAGTAATGAAAATTCAGAGAATGGTAGTACTATAACATCAACCACTAAATCTAGTAAGAAACAAAAATCAAGTGATACTAGATCACAGACTTAGAGCTCCGAACAGGTCAGCCAAATTCAGGTAACCTGACCTGACCTGACCTGAAATTCAGGTCAGGTATGAAGATTGACCTGACCTGATTGACCTGTTTACCTGAAACTATTGATTTTACTATATAATAAAAGTGAGTTGCAGTATTGCGATTCACTTTTTTATATTGATTTTGTATAATAAAAGTGAGTTGCG